AAAGAGTCCCTGCTAGATCTTTAGTTGAGGATGAAATTGGAATAAAAGAAAAAAAATCCAAAATCTTGCACACTGTAAGCAGATGTTGCTTTTCCCTTGTACATCCTTGCTTTTTCTCCCTTCTGCTTTGTTGTTGTTCTTCTTCTTCTAAATCTTTGTCTTGTCCTTGCTTTGTCTTTCCTGTCCTTGCAGCTGCCAAAATGCTCCCTGCTCCCTTAGCTCAGCCTCCTTCAGAGGCCAGTATCTAGAGGCTGGGGAGTTTGTAAAGAACCCAGTGGATAGCAGGCTGTGGATGTTTCTCTTGGCAGGAGTCTTCGTTTTGCTTTGATTCTCTGAGGATGTAAGAGGAAGTGGGTTTCAAAGGCCTGCCAGGGAGGAGGGAGTGTGCTGATAGCTAAGCTGTGTAGCAGAGGGAAAGAGCCTCCCCTGCGTTGGAACCTGACTGAGAGCCATCTGAACCACAGAAAGAGGGGAGCTTTCCTGACTACACAGAGGGCTGGGGCCACCACAGATGACACAGGCCGTGGCTCAAGTTATTATCTGGACATTTTGTCCCCTGGAGACTCAGAGCACTTACAAATAGCCCTGAAGTGGTGGCATGAACAGCAGATGGCCACAAGTGAAAACCACAAATACAAAAAACAAGCCAGAAACAGGAGCATGTATTTGTGTGCCCAAGTGAGGCACTAGCAAGAGGTCATGTCAAAAACCAGTGCAAGTGTGGATGGGAACAGGGGAAGGAAAACTCAGCAGAGTCCCACTGAAGGGCACCTAAATACTCCCTTGGCTGAGAAAATCCAGGTGACACAGTTTATCCACTCACCAGATGTTTGTTTGTTTTGTTTTGCTTTTGGGTCAGTCGTAGGGCTTGAACTCTGGGCTTGGGTGTTGTCCTTGCACTCTTCATCTCAAGGTGAGAGCTCTACTGCTTGAGCCACAGTGCCACTTCCAGTTTTCTAATGGCTTATTGGAGATGAGAGCCTCACAGACTTTCCTGCCAGGGATGGCTTTGAACCATGATCTTCAGATCTCAGCCTCCTGAGTAGCTAGGATTACAGGCATGAGCCACTGGTGCCTGGCTCACCAGACATTTTGTAAGTGTCTGCTACATGGCACTCAATGCTAAGGAATAATGATCTGCTTCTGCCTGAGATGCAATCTTACAAGAAATATACATCCCATCCTCTCTTTATAAGAGACTCTACATTCCCATAGCATTTGAAACACTTGTGACATCCACATTATTGTGCATCATTTTCAATAAATCACTTTTTGGAGTCTGTGTTTATATCCACTGTCTCCCTGAGTTACTCCTTGGGAGTTAGTATCTTCAAAAGGAAGGATTGTTGTTGTTTTTTCTAGATGACATAGATGTTTGAGATTTCCAAATGTTCTCAGATTCTCCCTCTCATCTTGTGTAGGGATTATGACAAAAGGCAAATTGGATTTGGCTCCCAGGCTATGGTTGATTTATGCTTGTCTAAACGATTCAACTATCTTCATTTCAGTCTATTCCTGTGATACACCTAATTATTCAACAGCTTGCTATTGTTAAATAAAGTATAAGATATAACATAAAAATACAAACTAGCTGGGTGCTGGTGGGACTCACGACTGTAATTCTAGCTAATCAAGAGTCTGAGATCTAATGATCGAAGTTTAAAGCCAGCCTGGGCAGGAAAGTGCAAGAGACTCTTATCTCCAATTAACCACCAGAAAATTGGAAGTGGTGCTGTAGCTCCCGTGGTAGAGGCTTAGCCTTGAGCTGAAGAGCTCAGGAACAGTGTCCTGGCCCAGAGTTAAAGCCCCACGACCAACAAAATAAATAAATAAATAGAAATACAAACTGTAGCTACGATGTTAACATCATTTCTGTTATTTAGCATCATATTTCAGAAAGGAAAATATCTGTACTATGAGGCTAAAGATCTCATTGATAACACACCACAGTGATTGAACTTGAATGTAAAATATCTCTCTTATCTGTGTCTATATGCAAAGTTAAATATCATTGTAACCATAAATATCACATAAGACATTTCTCCTTTACTATTTGTCTCACCATCCTGATCACTTTTATTAATAATTGGTATATAAATTTTCATAATCAGGGTAGTTTCATTATAATTCCATCAGATATATTTCAAATATCATATATCTAACCATTTCCTTTCATTAAATGATTTCCTAAGATCTCTATGGCCCTTATCTAACCCTTGTAGTGGTAAGATAGGGAGAGGATACTGATATGTGACATTTGGCTACCTACTATGGTGAAATACTCCTAGGATGGCTAATTTTAAGTTGTCATCTGGGATGGGAAATGATGCCCACACTAGGATCTTGCAAGTAGGTACAAATTGACCCAGCATTCCTACTGACTTGTCCTTATTGCCTTTTTACTACCGGTGCCAAATTCTGAATGGATCTGTGAGAGTGGCTGTTTCATTAACAGCTTTGATCTTATTCTTGGACACGTGATAGTGTATTACATCTCTGATTATTCCTGAAACTATCATTTCTCCATGTGTCCCCTATGCATGTTCTTACATCTACTGAGGTACTCATGCTACTAGATTCTTTAATTTTTCCTAAAATTAATATAATGAAACTTTATTCCCAAATGCAGTTGGATTATAGATGGGGCCCTGGGGCAGCTGTCTACAAGCCAGGAAATAGCCCACACCAGACACCAAATCTACTGGCATCTTTTGGTTTGTTCATTTGTTTGTACCAGGACTTTAACTCAGGGCCTAATACTATCCCTTAGCTGTTTCCCACAAGGCTGGTAGTCTATTACTTGAGCCATAGCTTCACTTCTGGCTTTTTGGTGGTTAATTGGAGATAAGAATCTTGTGGACTCTTCTGCCTGGGCCGGCTTTGAACCATGATCCTCAGATCTCAGCCAGCTTGGCAGCGAGGATTACAGGCATGAGCCCTCCCACAAGTGCCCAATAACTATACTAGTACCTTAATCTTGGCACCAGGTAGTAAAAAGTTAATAAGGACCAAGTCAGTAGGAATTCTGGGTCAGTTTGCACCTCCTAGTAAGATCCAAGTGTGAGCATAATTAAGTCTATCTGTCTTTATCCTTGAAATTCATTGATTGGCAGTAAACATGAGAGAGTTTGTCCTATTTTCTTGTACTCTGTAACTATTCATTAAATGCCTGTGGACACAGTGTGATCACTGGTGTGTGATCACCATCTCTATTCTCCTGGATCTTCCACTCTGGTGAGGAATACAGACAGAAAATACACAAGCAAATGTATATAGGAAGGCCTGTTGATGAGGAGAGTCATGTGTCACCAAGCAGGGGAAGGGGCAGAGAGATAGAAAGACAATGTTTTAGACAGACCTCTATAAGAAGGTTACATTTGAATAGATGCCTAAATAAGTGAAGAGTAAATCTACCTAATTTGCTTAATGGCTTTTACTTAAACCCACTTGTCCATCTGGATATAATCAGAGTTTCTGATTATATTTTTCTAGTTTATGTTTGATGATCTGAATTCCTTTTCATTTCTTTTATTTTTCCCAACCGCTGTTATGAAGTTGCAATATTTTTCCATCCCTCAATCTGTTCCCCAGGGGCCATTTTTCAGATGATCCTAACTTTATCTTACTTGCTACTTTTTGTATCATGTTTCTCAAAGAATTCACCAGTTCTTGCTGTTCTTTGGCTTTAACATTTCTAAACTACCCTTTCTAGAATCAAAATGTCAAAATTACATTTTAACTGTGTTTGTATCTCAAAATGTCAAAATTACATTTTAACTGTGTTTGTATCTCCAGCACCCTTAGAGCTTTTAGTTTTGTTCTTTTTGTTTGTTTGTTTTTGACAAGTTTGGCAAGGATTTATTTTAGTGTAACAGGATCAAAGTAGGGAGAAATAGAAAAGAGAGAAACATTTCCTGTCTCCCATTAAGGAAATGGGAGTTAAAGACTCAAAACGGCAGTTCCTGTCTGGTTGAGTACGTGTATCCTTACGTGTATCCTGTGATCCAGCCACAACCAATCCAGAGACAATTGTTCTGGGTGGGTAAGGAGAGGCCAAAACACAGGGGTCTTCAGGACTTCCTTTTGCCAGGTATGCCATTTTCTTCTGTCTTCACCCATTCATATTCATGGAGAGTTCCAGAGTTTTGAAAATAGATTTAGATATACCTTCCTATATTTCGAAGGAGGAATCATCTTCTGGTTGTTGTTGTTGTTCAGGGTTTTTTTTTTTTAACTGTACCTTTTCTTTCTTTTCTTTTTTGGTACTGGAGGTCGAACCCAGGACCTTGCACTTGTTAGGCAAATGCTTTGCCACTGAGCTACAACCCAGCCCTGGAGGAATCATCTTTGCACCTATGACATTGCCCTTAGAACTTAAACAAACTGGACTTCCTAAACACCTTAAAGAGTAGATGAATTTGAAAAGTCACTTCTAGGTTTCCACTCTCATTCATACCTAAAAACACTTAACTTGGTTGTTGGGTTTTGTTTTGGTTTTGGTCTTTTAGTTTTGGTTTGGTTTATTATTATTAATTATTATTATTATCTTTAAGTAGTTGTACAAAGGGGTTTCAATTCAGCATATCAGTTTATGAGCACGATGCATCTTTGGTCAATGTCATTCATTCTCCCCACCTCTCCAACAATTTTTACATATATACATTGAATATTATGATAACTCTTGCTTACCTTTCCTCTCTGCATTCATGTGTCCTCTCTTCTCTCCCTCAGAAACACCTGTTCTTAACTTCCTAGTACTCAATCTGGTTTTGTTGCTGTTTTGTTGTGTTTTCTTGTCAGGTGTTGGTTGCTGTTTGTTGGGTTTTGGTGGGGCTGAGGATAGAATTCAGGACCTTACACACGCACTAGCTAGCACTAGACTAGCACTGAGCTATAACCTCAGCCCCAGCTCATTCTTTTAAGTAGGTCAGAGGTGACAGAGCCGCTCATATGCTCCCAGGTGCACTTCTGTTCCTATCTCTGATTTTCAGAACACAATATAAGATTTCATTCTTTTATTCCAAACACAGAGCTTTGTTAAAGAGAAGAGGACAGGAGTCCTCAAGGCACAATGCTTCCATAAGAAATGACACAGATGAGTTTGCACCACTACATTTCCCTTATCGTACATGAGTAGGATGGGAAGTCTTTGGCCAGTTCTTAGCGTGGTTAGAGAATATGCTTCTCAGCTCTGTCTTTCCACCACCTATGCATCCACATTCCCCCCAAAACCAAAATGACCAGAGACAGTGGGGCCAGCGCAATCTTCCAAGAGAATGTGGGGGAAGCTGTGGAGAGAAGAGAGAGAGAGAGATGTCAGGACTGAGCATCACTCACTACAAAATAGGTCAGGCCAGGGCCACACAGGTTTGCTGAGAAGCACACTGAGTTTTTTTTTTTTTTCCTGGTAAATGTGCACTTGTTTGAGAAATGTTGTTGACACCAAAATTAAGGATATTTGAGAATGACATTGGTGACATTAGAAAAACAAGCAAGGTAGGATAAAATCTGTTACCAAGAACATTGTAAGGTAGGGAACAAGTATTCTGGGACTAACTGTTCCAACTGTGAGCAGTGGTGTGTCTCTGATGTGATCTGTTTCCATCTGCGACACTGCCAGGAAACAATCTGCCCTCTTCCAGGGACCATGGGTGACATGAGGATTAAACAAAGGAACAAAGGAAAAGAGCAGGCTTGCACATCAAGATAATTCTTTTGATCAGCTATTGCATGTTCTACCCCTAGGCATCTTTGTGTTGTGAAAATATAGGAAATATCTGTGAACTTAAAAAATTAAAATGCAAATGTGAAAACATGGTGTTAATAAATACCTTGTTAATGAGATCTGAATTCCACTGTTTGTTTTTGAGACAGAGTCTCTCTACTTAACCGGGGCTAGTTTCTACCTCCTAAACCTCCTGCCTCAGCTTCCAAATGCTGAGATTACAAGAATAGAGAATTCCACATTTTAAAGTTAGTATTTGGGATAGTCTATGCAGGCTTACTGCAATCACCAGGATCTCAATCTGACTTTCCACAGGAGTCTTTCACCTTACACTACTCGGATTAGAAATACATGGAGCTAGGCATCAGTGGTTTATGCTTGTAATCCTAGCTACAGGAGACTGAGATCTAAGGATCATGGTTCAATGCTAGCCTGGGCAGAAAAGTCCAGGAACCTCTTCAATTAACCAGTAAAAAGCCAGAAGTGGAGGTCTGGCTCAAATGGCAGAGTGCCAACCTTGAGCGAGAAAGCCAAGTCAGAGTACAAGGTCCTGAGATCAAGGCCCAGTACCAGCTCAAAAAGTAAGTAAGTAACAAAGTAAATAATTAAAGCTGCAATTCTCTGAGCAGCTGGTTGAATATGTCTCTCCATCCTGATAAAAGGCCTTGCTGGGCCTCTGGGATAAGTCGTGAGCTGTCCCAGAAAAGAGCATGCACATAGGACTCCAGTGACAAAGTTTCAAAGGTTCTCAACATCAGAATCAGGCTTTGCACAGAATTTTTTGACTCACTACTCCCCAGAGAAGGCAAGTTTCTTTTTATGGGACCCTCCATTTCCAAATCTGTATGGTCACTGTGTCTCTCCCTCCCTCCTGGCCCTCATTTCTGTGAAAGGTCCTGCAACATTGCCCTGTACACATAGACCCAAGTGTGAAACTTCAGTATGAAAGGAGCTGGGGAGGGTTGGATGGAATCTATCTGGATGAGGGCAGGGGCTGTGTTTTTTTAATCTGTGGTGTTGCTGGTATAGAAGCTCAGTTGGAGACAGCTGTGCTGGGTATTTGTTTGAAAGATATTAACAGTCCTGCTGAGACTCACTTTGGACCAGGGGCTGTTGCTTTTTTGGACTGTCAGCAGATACAACATCAAGTGTACTTCCCTTTCCTGTTCAGTGATTAAATATACCAAGGAATCCATTTAGTCAAAAATGATAGCATTTCACTTTTTGTTGTTAAATGGATAGTGGACTGATTTTTGCACTTATTCCTGTTTCTGATGTCGTTGACCTCAGAGTTACTCTGAACTTCAGTATCTTCCAGTCCCAGCTCTTGCAGGATGGAGTTTTTCAACTTTAAGATGAGAGGAGGCCACCCACCCTCTCCTAGAGGACAGCAGACCCTGGTACTCCATTGCAGAAGCACTTAAACATGCAGAGTTCTCACAAGTTCATCCAAGAGCTATGTTATGTGCTTTCTAAAACTTAACACTTGATTTGGTTTTGTTTGGTTTTTAGTTTTTGCAGAAGTAGGAACTGAAGTCTGGGCCTTACATTTGCAAGACAGGCACACTACCACTTGAGTCATGCCTCTAGCTCCTTTTTGCAGTGATCATATTTGAGATAGGGTCTCCCTGTCACAATTGAGTGGCCTAGACTGTAATCTTCCTACTTGTGCTTACCATATCACTGGGGATGACAGGTGTGGCCTCTGTGCCCAGCCATTCTGCTTCCTTCTCCAGTAGCTGGGATAATAAGCACATGCCACCCTCCCCAGCCATTGGTTGTGATGGAGTCTTGTGAATTTATAGGCCCAGGGTAGTCTTGAAGCTCCATCTCTGACCCTTGCTTCCCAAGTAGCTATGATTGCAAGGTTGAGCCACCATGCCTAGAACAACTTAATCTTTTTTTCAATCACAGTATAATTCCTCAATGTCCAACCTCTAATCAACCAAAAATAATTATCAAAGAGTGGGAGGTTTGTTCAAGAATTACATGGAGATCATGGAGCTCTGTGTTGCATCTGTAGACCATTACACAAGTTTGTTTTCCCATTTAGTGTCCCCAAAATGCATACCTTCTTTGACTGTGGTACGTAGGACCTGATGACTTTGTTTGCCATTGACCTTACAGGTAAAATCTGTATGCAAATCCTCCCTTGTGACTGGATTAAAAAGCAGTGGTACTTCAATGTAGCTCTCATTGTTTTCTGAATATTCCCTGGGTAAGAAAACATTCATTTAAGTGTGGTGTAAGTGTATCTTTTACCGGCTAGACAATCAAACATTCTCAAATTTAAACTAACTACAAGTTTCATAAAGTTAGGAGAAATTGACACATACTATTTTACTTATTTGTGAGAATTATTTGCCAGTCATGAAGCTTGAACTCAGGACCTGAGCACTGTCCCTAAGCTTACCACTTGAGCCACAGTACCACTTCCAGCTTTTTCCGTTTATGTGTTACTGAGGAATTGAATTCGGGGCTTCATGCAAGGTAGGCAAGCACTCTACCACGGAGCCACATTGCCAGCCCACTATTTGGGAGAATTTTTCTACTTTTTTTTTTTTTTTGCCAGTCCTGGGCCTTGAACTCAAGGCCTGGTCACTGTCCCTGAGCTTCTTCTGCTCAAGGCTAGCACTCTACCACTTGAGCCACAGTGCCACTTCTGTTTATTTTCTGTTTATGTGGTACTGAGAAATCAAACCCAGGGCTTCATGCATGCTAGGCATGTACACTACCACTGCATCCCATTCCGAACCCCTGTTTGGGAGAAGTTTTCAAGCCTATTTCTAAAGGCCAGAGTGTTGTTAATGGCATAGCTTATGATAATAGGCCATTTGTCACAATAAGAATTTAAACCTTCATTTTCACTTAGATGCAAATTTTTATATTTTAAATATCCTTAATGTACCCAGTAGTGGGAATAGAGAAGTCTAGTATGGGGAAACCTTGTTCTCTTACCAATGACTTATTCATATATTGAAGAGAAGGGAGTTTCCAGGACTCCACCCTCAATGGTGTCTGCCCTTCATTTTTACTGCTGTCTCTCACTCCACACACTCGAGTCCAGATGAGAGCTGCAGACTGGCAACTACAGTGTGGACAGCTGCCATGTGTAATGTTGGCAGAAGTCCAAGATACTGCCTTGCTATCGTGGAAGCTAGGCATCATGGAGACTTTATCTTCAATTAATTAGCAAAAGGCTAGCAATGGAGGTAGGGAGCAAGTGGTAGAGAGCCAGCCTTGAATAAAAAGCTAAGCAAAAGTGTGAGGCTCTGAGTTCCAGTCCAGTGCAGTTCAAGCCACTAGTGGAGTGAATCCACTAGGATTATATTTGTGTTATCTAGGGAAGAAAAGTATGGAAATCTGTTCCTTTAAGAAAATGAAGTATAAGCCAGGCACCAGTGGCTCACACCTGTAATCCTAGTTACTCAGGAGGCTGAGATCTGAGGATTGTAGTTCAAAGCCAGCCCAGGAAGGAAAGTCCAAGAGACTCTTATCTCCAATAATCTACTCAGAAAATACCAGAAGTGGTGCTGTTGTGGCTCATGTGATAGAGCACTAGCTTTGAGCAAAAGAAGCTCAGGGAGAGAGCATAGGCCTAGAATGCAAGCCCTAGGACTGGCAAAAAGATGAAGGGTGGAAGGAAGGAAGGAAAGAAGGAAGGAAGGAAGGAAGGAAGGAAGGAAGGAAGGAAGGAAGGAAGGAAGGAAGGAAGGAAGGAAAGAAGGAGGGAGGGAGGGAGGGAGGGAGGAAGGGAGGGAGGGAGGGAGGGAAGGAAGGAAGGAAGGAAGGAAGGAAGGAAGGAAGGAAGGAAGGAGGGAAGGAGGGAAGAAAGGGAGGAAGGAAGGGAAGAAGGGAGGGAGGGAGGGAGGGAAGGAGGGAGGGAAGGAGGGAAGGAGGGAGGGAGGGAAAGAAAATGAAATGTGAGTAAACTGATATGGTAGTTGTGGTCAATTCTTTTCAACAAAGACTTGAAAACAAAGGATTATGCTAACCATCATTGTGACCCAGTCAGTGCCATCCAGAAAGAACTTTTTCTTTTTTTTTTTTAAGAATTAAAAGTTGAACTCAGTACCTCATGGTTGTTAGACAAATGCTTTACTACTTGAGCCATGCCCCCAGTCCTTTTGTACTTTTCAGTTTGTTTTACAGATACAGTCTCTTACTACCTAGCCCAGCTGGCCCCAAAAGGACTTTTTGATAAATCTTTCAAAAAATGACAAAGACTAACAAGCCAGAGTTCCAGCTAACCCAATGTGTCAGACTATAATTTAAAAAATACTTTTTGATTTGGAATATTGAATGGACTCCCTTGTTCATATGCAAATAGCTACCATATATGAGATGTGAGCATTCTAGTTTCACACTGAAGAAATATTCTCAAAAGATAGGTATGTAAAAGAAGCAAACTCATCTTTCTATTATTATCAATCTTCTTTGGAAACTGGAGCAGCCCACAATTCCCTAAAAATCAAAAGAGGTCCCAGTACAGATACTGTGGCTAGATCTCAGAGCTTTTATAAAGGTATATGAAAAAATTTGAAAGTAAGATAGCAAAACAGGAAATGGAGATGGATTAATTCACAAATATTTTTTACCTGGAAAAAATAAAAGTACAAGAAAATGTTCTAAACGGCTACAAAAGGCAACCTCCAACTGACCAACTACAATTCCACTCATACAAGTCTAAAGTTTGATTTGTGTGTGTGTGTGTGTGTACTCAAAGCTTCTTGCTGTTGCTTGTCTTTTTCTCTTCAAGGATGATGCACTATCAATTGAGCCAGAGCTCTACTTCAGGCTTTTTGCTGGTTAATTAAAGATAAAAAGTCTCATGGATTTGTCTGCTCTAGCTGGCTTTAAACCTTGATCTTCATACCTTAACCTCCCTAATAGCTAGGATTGCAGGAAATCAGGAATGTGACTTTCACTGCAGAGTGTTATGTGTATAAGCCCAATGTGACTCTGTCTCCTAAAGGAGACCCAGTCTCCTAAAGGAAGTGTGGAGATCTGCCAGACCACATACCGAACATCCCCCTGCATTAATCGGCCTCCGGGATAGGTGTTCGGGACTTCGCTGTTGTTAGCCATCCACTGCACATAGGCAAAGGGGGGATCTTCGTCTGGCCCCAGGAACACTTTACATGGAATTGTCAGTTTTGACCCTGTGTGCAGCAAGACATAACACATTAACCAGAAAAGGAGTCAATGGGAAACAAAGGCATCCAAGCAATTCGCATCCCTTGGCCAACCAGAAATCCTTCCTCATCTTCCCCAGCACTCTTCACTGCGAAGTCCTTATCTCACAAGGAAATATAGTTTCTCCAAACAATTCTGTTCACACTAAACTTTAATATTTACCATATGTCTCTAGAACCTTCCACTGGTCCTCACCGTGGGTGAAAATCCAGAAATACATGAATGGCTTCAATAAGGTCACTCAGGTCCTACCAAGCATTTTGAATTCTCCTGCAAGTGATTCTATTTATGTTTAAAAGTTCCAACAGTTGGTTATCTCAGCTCTAAGCGTCCCCCTGGGACTCTCCATTCTAAGATGGTACTCACTCCCAATTAACCCTTCCCCAAAACAAACGCATTTTCTAAGGATGGCGCCCTCTACAGTCTTCAATGCATAGTGCAGGAGCCCCTTACCTAACTGTGATTTCTTAGACAATGTTAGATATGGTGGATGTTCAATACTGATGTGCCCTCATTGGCCAATCCTGTGGACTATCCAAAAAGTAGGGTGGTCAGCCTAAATCAAAATGGAGTGAAACATACAAAACCTTAAATGGTTACTTTGTCCATACCACTAAACCAGCTGATCAGTTGTTCTGGTAGAAAGAACCTGTCTCTGGTCATCCACTCCATTTTATTTTTTTCTTTCACATGCATACATACATACATACCAGTACTAGGACTTGAATTTAGGTGCTGAACCCTGTCCCTGAACTTTTTCACTCAAGGCTGGTGTTCTACAGCTTTACTTCTGGCTTCTTGTTGGTTAAGTGGAGATAAGAGTCTCACAGACTTCCTGCTTGAGCTGGCTTCAAGCTAGAACTCTTAGATCTCAGCCTCCTGAGTAGCTAGGTTCACAAGTCTAAGCCATGAGAGCCCAGCTCATTTACTACATCTTCAAATGAAGTCTTACAGAGGTGCTGAGCACCAGCCAAGCTTTAGCAATATGGATTATTTTAAATCTACTAGAAGTGATGGCTGTGTAAGGGATTTATGCTGTCAATCCTTTGTTGTTAACTGCTATGCAAAAATACCATGTTGTATTTAGAACTTTGTAAGTAGGGTTTCCTTGAAGCCAAGTATCCTTAATTTTAAATACAATTCCTAACAATATTTGACAAAGAAAAATGCCCACTCCCATTTGTTCCCTCAGGCCCAACCACTGGAGTTTTAAGGTCTTCACCCAGACACATGATACTCCAAAGGAACAGCAGTGGTGTGGATATTGTGGTCAGTAGGCCAGGAGCCCTGAGTCTTGACTCTGGGGTTCAAGAATCACCACACGCATGTGCATGACAGTCTTTGCAGGCCTTACCCAGAGATGCTGTTACGGTTTCCAAGGGAGATACGATTACAGGAATAGTTTCCTCTCTTCTTTCTGAGAAAGTTGCAAGGAAAAGAGATTCCATTAGGGAAACCTTCATTTAGATCTGACACTTAACTTCCATTGTTTGTCTAATTAAGTTATCTTTCACCAAGTGGCCAGTCATTGTGCTAATCAACCTTTTTCTGGCAAAGGAAACACAGTTGATCTCCTCACAAAATTGAGCATTTGGGGCCAATGCTTTTCCCAGCAGAGAAAAGACATTACTGGAAAAGATTACAGTTACACATTCCAATGACAGATGGTCTTTGTTCTTTGCTCTGACATAAACAATTAGCCCTTCACCTCCCAGGCTTCCTGAATGCACATTGATGGTATCCACAGGCTAGGCTATACTCAAAGGTTTCCACTCCCCTCCAAAGTGTCTACCACAGAACACTAAAGACTCACTTCTATAAGAATAGCCATAAGGAGCCAAGTTCTGGGGATTCATGCCTGTAATCCTAGCTACTCAGCAGGAAGAGATCTGAGGACTGTGGTTCAAAGCTAGCTAGGGTACAAAAGTCTATGAAACTCCTACCTCCAATTAACTCCTCACAAAAAGAAAAAAAAAACACCTAGAAGTGGAGCTGTAGCTCAAGTGCTAGCCTTGAACAGAGATGGTACCCAGGCCCTGAGGTCAAGCTCCAGGACCAGTGTGTGCACACGTGCACACACACACGCACACATACACACACACACACACACACACACACACACACACACACACAGAGGCTGAAGAACTAAATGACCTGTTTATAAAGCTAACCCTACTCCCACACTGAGTAACAAATCCAGTAACCCATAGTGGGCCACTGATATCTTGTTAACCAAGAAAATAAAGTCTTTGGAGATGCAAAGGTTGATGTTTAAGGAATTAAAGGATTACACCTAGCTTGAACAAACTGAGTACCCAAAATGGTACAAAATGATAGCTGAGGATGAGTGAGGGCTAGGAGCTGTCTCTCAATGGCCTCATCACCCTCATTTCTTTTACAAAATATTTCAAAATCCTCCCATGGGTGATGGTCTAACCTGAAGAGCTGCTGGCATCTACACTACATAGGCCCCTCCCAGCTATACTGCTATGGGACAGTGGCCAGGCTATACAGGGAGAGAGAAAAGCCTCCAGGATCTAGTATTAAAACATTTTTCACACTTGGGGGTGAACCATACAGATAGCAGTCCTCAATGCCCAGTTTCCATTTTAGGTCAGCATGGAACCTGAGATTTTGCACCTGTTGCAAGGAATACCCAGCCAGCTGAAGAGGCTGCTGCTGGCTCAGGACCACACTTTGAGAAGCCACTGAGCTGCAGTAGGCTAACATCACAGTATAATATATAGGTTGGTACCTCCTAGTGTTTCTGTGTGGTATTACACAAATAGAACAGTAGACCCTGTGGAAAGGCACAGGGAGACTCAATCACTACCCTGTGGGGGAAAGAGGGAAGTAATGTGAATGAATTAGAACAGGTCAGGAAAAGAAATATAATCTAGGAATACATAGAATTATGAACTTATAATAAAAATGAACTTCTGGAATCTCTGAGAAATTTTTCTTTCATAGACCCAATCATGGGGGTCAGCAGGGGATACCAATACTGGGGCTTAAACTCAGGGCCTCTCTCTGTCACTTGATATTTTTGCTCAAGACTGGTTTCCTACCACTTGACCTAGACCTTCAATTCTTTTTTTGCTGTTCAATTGGAGATGAATCTCACAGACTTTTCCCTGCCTTTGAATGGTGATCCTCTGGTCTCGGCCTCCTGAGTAACTAGGATTATAGGCATAAGCCACCAATGCTCAGCTCATAGACCAATTATTTAACACTAATTTGTTTTCAGGGCTCTCTGAAGTCCCTCTAAAAGATTCCAATTGAATGTGACTACACTGTTGGTGGGGATACAAAATTGTTCAACCACTCTGGAAAGCAGTATGGAGGTTCCTTAAAAGATTAAACATAGCCAGGCATTGGTGGCTCACATCTGTAATCCTACCTAATCAGGAGGCTGAGGTCTGAGGATCACAGTTCAAAGGCAGCACAAGCAGGAAAGTCCGTGAGACTCTTATTTGCAATTAACCCACCAGAAAACCAGAAATGGCTCTGTGGCTCAAATGATAGAGTACTCCCCTTAAGCTGAAGAGCTCAGAGACAGCACCCAGGCCCAGAGTTTAAGCCCCCAAAATAATTACTAAACATACAGCTTCCCTATGACCTAGCAATTCTACTCCTGGATATTTATCCAATGGACCACAAACCAGGCCACACTAAAGCTACCAGTACAACCATGTTCACTGCAGCATTGGCGGGTGTTTTTTGTTGTTTTGTTTTGTGTTTGTTTGGGTTTTTTTGTCTATTGTGGGGCTTGCAGTCTGGGTCTGGATGCTGTCCCTGAGCTCTTCAGATCAAGGTGAGAGCTCTACCACTTGAGCCACAGTGCCATTTCCAGTTTTCTGGTGGTTAATTGGAGATAAGAGTATTGTGAACTTCCTGCCCAAGCTGTCTTTGAACCTTGATCCTCAGATCTCAACCACCTGAGTAGTTAGGACTACAGGTGTGAGTCACCAGCACCCAGCTGGTTTTTGTTTTTGTTTTTGTTTTTGTAAAGGTGATATGCAGAGTGGTTACAATTACATAAGTAAGGTAATAAGTACATTTCTTTTCAAACCCTCTCTGTGCAGCATTGTTTACCATAGTCAAGATATGGATTTAACTCAGATGTCCCTTAGTAGACAAATGTGGTATATACATACAATGGAATCTATGCTTCCATCGGAAAGAATGCTATTGCCCCATTTGTAAGGCAATGGAAAGACTTGGAAAAATTAAGTGAAGTAAACCCGACCCAAAGAAACATAAGCTGCATGATTTCCCTCATTTATAGTAATTAGAATGGGTCTACAAATCTACAAGTAAACACAGTGGATAGTAAAAGACAAAAAATTACACTTGGACATCATAAGTGAAACAGGACTCTAAACATTCACACATTGAGATCAAAGGAGGATATTCTTAGGAGAGGATCACAAAGGTTCAACAGCTATGATCATATAAAATGAGGCTAATCAAAATGAACTCCAAGATATGGAAACAAGTGTTTTTTGTGTTTTGTTTTTATTTTTGTTTTAATGTACTGTGTGAAGTTATTTCTTTTTACTTTCATCACATACCCACCCCTTTGGTTTATACCCTGTTGTCACTGATTTTTATTTTAGTACCCTGTGTCTTGTATATAGATTTATCTAATTTGGGAAAGGGAAAGGGAATAACAAAATGAACAAGACTCAGTTGTTTTCAGGTTAAGATGAAAGAAAACAGGTATATCTGTTTTCCTGACAGCATCTGTGGGACTTTAGAGTCAGTATTCAAGTTCAGGTTAGGGTTAGAGTTAGGAAAGGGTCAGCTTTAGGGAAAAAATGAGTTTTCTACCAACAAATAGAAGGAAAGTACATGCAACACTTAAAAGGAAGTACAAAAGTTTCCATATTTTTACTCTTTGGCATCATTGGGGTTCCCATTCTCATTGCCAATAGTGCTCATTATGCTTAGGGTTATGGAATAGAATAGAATCTGTTTTGAAAAGAATCAGACAAAGGACAAAAGGTGAGCCAATGCAACAGTGATACTTACAAGATACTATGTTGGAAATGAACTTTACAACTTGGGGAGGAGAGGAGTCTGGGGCGAGGGAAAGTGGGGTAACAATGTTCAACAAGAATGTACCCATTACCTTACTTATATAACTGTAACCCCTCTGTACATCACTTTTACAATAGAAATTAAATAACGCTTATCTAAATGAACTCCAGGAAATGGAAACAAGAGGTTTTTTATTTTACTTTTTGTGTTTTTTCTGTTTTTCCCCTGTTGTCATTGTTTTTGATTTCTGTACCTTTTATCTTTTTTTTATAATCAATGGATTTTTAAAAACTTTATTGCAAAGGTGATGGGCAGAAGGATTACAGTTACATAAGTCATGTTATGAGTATATTTCTTTTGTAACAGTGTCATACCCTCCCTTATTTGTACATTTTGTCTTGTATGTAAGTTTATCTTATTGGGGAGGGTAATGGGAAGCACAGAAATAGTGGGAGAAAGAGTGAACTAATTCAGCAGTGGTACTCACTAGACACTATTTACAATGAACTGCAACCTCTCTATACATCACCTTAACCATAAAAATAAAAAAATATTTAAAGGTTCCAATCATGTCAGCTATTCCGTACACAAGACACATGACCTAATCTCTAGCTATTCAGTACATTCCCCAGGGCACAGTCTAGGACTCACTCACAAACTTTTATGCTCCTTGTCCCAAGTTTTCTCCCAAGTTTTACTTATATAGAAGGTATGGAATAAATGTTGAAAATGGTAAACCCTGTTCCCAATGTTATTTTCAAGTATAACTGATTCTGGTACCAGTTGAGCTTCCTCACTCTTAATTTTTTGAGTGTTGATATGAGTAAAAGTAAAAAGTAAAAAAATTCCACAGCATGCAAGTTTTATACATAGGATTATTTAAAAGTGTAGGGCTGGGTGTAGTGCCACGTATCTGTAATCTTATAACTCAGGCAACTGAGGCACACAGATCATGAGTTGGAAGCCAACTTGAGTACATAGTAAGTTCAAAGCCAGCCTGGATTTTATATCATTTGAAGCCAGCAAGGACTGTCACAGAAAGAAAATAACAGGAAAGGAAAGGAAGAGGAGAAGAGAGGAGTGGAGAGGAGAGGAGAGGAGAGGCAGGAAGAAAAAGAAGGGAGAGAGAGAAAAAAGAGAGAGACACACTGGATACCAGTAGCTCATGTCTGTACTACTAGCTACTCAGGAGAATGATATCTGAGGGTCACAGTTCAAAGGAAGGAAAGTACACAAGACTCTTACAGTGTATCTCCAATTAACTGTTCAAGCCAAAAGTAGAGAGATATGGCTCAAGTGGTAAAGTATCAGCTTTGAGTGAACAACCTAAGAGACAGAACCAAGGCCTTGAGTTCAAGCTCTAGTACTGGTGTGCACACATGTGCATGCACACACACACACAAAGAAAAAAAGAAAAAAACACAGTACATAATATAAAACATTGCATTAAATTTTACCTACAGGGAATATATGTAAGATGTGTATGAAAAATTAATTTCATGTTTAGATTTGAGTCCCTTCCCCTAGCTATCTTATTTTGTGTGTGTGTGTGTGTGTGTGTGTGTGTGTGTGTGTGTGTGTGTGTGTGTAGACAGAGAGAGAGAGAAATATTTTTTAAAGTTTGAGACTTCTATTTCAAGCATTTAGAATAAGTTATATTCAACTGGTACCAAGAACATCTACACACATCTTAGAGAAAATAAAACATTAAGGCAATTTCTACTGGATATATATGACCTTAGGAGTGAGAATCTAATAAAGTCCTCAAATCCTATAATAGCAGTACATAAGGCCAGGGCAACTGTATTTTTGTTTATTTGCTTTTCTAGGTGGTACTAAGGCCTGAACTCAAGACCGAGGCTCTGTTCTATAACTTTTTCACTCAATGCTACCACTCTACCACTCTGTCCATACCTCTACTTCCTGGTTTTTGCTGGTTAATTGGAAATAAAAAGCCTCAAGGACTTTTCTGACCAAGCTGGCTTGTAATAGGGATCCTCAGATCTCAGCCTCCTTAATTGTCTTGAATTACATAAAGTCCTGAGCCACTGGTTCCCAGCTCAGGGCAATCCTGTGCTGAGGACCTTTGGACTTCCAAAGGAGCTTTCTAAAGAAACCAGTGTTTGGCCCCCTCTGGTGGTGAGTTTATGCCTCTGTCAGCCTTTTAACTGCCCAGGGATCATCTTTTTTTCTTTTATGAGTTATAGCTTTCAAACTGTCACTTACATGTCTCATCATCCTTTAGAACAGTTCATGTATCAGTTTTCTTTTGCATACTAAGGACATTACAGGGCTTCGGGGTGAGCCTAAATTTGTTCTTATATTTTTCATTGGACAGAAGGACAGGGACCTTAGTACTTACTTTTGACAAGAAGTTCAATATTCCTAGAGACGTTGTATTCTCTGCCCCTGAGGGAAAATGTCAGGACACATGTGAAGTAGCCCATATCTTCCATAGATGCATTCGATATGACCAAGCGTTTTCCAACTCCCACAAATTTACTGTTGTTTTCATCCAAAAGGACAGAATCCTTAAGTGAAAATGTATTTGTACATTATTAATATATACTGCTATTTATATGTTATTATAGTATTTTATTATACACAGTATAATACTGTGCTGATATGAATATATTAATATAATATTTATACATTATTAATATGTAATTAATGCAATGTGTATCTCAATAGCTTTGAATCACATCATTATCAATCAATGTTGAGTTTATAACCTAAATATTATCCTGATGTTTACTTTTTAACAGTATTTTTAGGGGAAGGGTGTTTTAAGCTGGGAAGGTGGCTCAGTGGTAGAGTGTTTGCCTGACATGAATGAGGCCCTGGGTTCGATTCCTCAGAACCACATAGGCAGAAAAATCTGGAAGTGGTGCTGTTGCTCAAGTGGTAGAGTGCTAGCCTTGAGCTGAAGAGCTGAGGGACAGTGCCCAGGCCCAGAGTTCAGGCCCCACAACTGACACAAGAAAAAAAAAGGAAAAGGCTGATTTAGAGGGGTTTTTTTATTGCTTTATTTCTTAAGAAAAGTATTGCTATGAATCCAACCAAGCTGGTGTAAAATTTTTTAGTATTGATGTTTGAACTCAGAACCTTGCATGTGCTAAGCAAGCATTCTACCTACCACTTGAGCCACAACTTTAGCCATTTTTTCCCTTGGTTATTTTTCAAATAGGGTCTCATTTTTTGCCCAAGTTAGCCTGGACCACGATCCTTTTCTTTATGGTTCCTCTGCAGCTAAGATGACAGGTACATGACACCACGCTCAGCTTTTATTGGTGAGATAGGGTTCTAACAGACTTTTTGCCTAGATTTACCTTCTCACTCTCCATTTCCCTAGCAACCTGCATTACAGGTGTAAGCCACCACATTTATCTGGCCTCAGATATTTGATCCTTCTGCATTAACCTCCCAAATGCTGTAAATTGCAGGTGTACCCAACCATGCTCAGCTTAGAAAAGGAATTTGTTAACATATAACAAATATCGAAGCTGGATTTGTTAATCCACTATATGTAAAGCATATTTATTTTTGCAAAAATACAAAAAGAACTAACTCATCACTGAAAAAACAGACTTAAAAATACAAATACATGAATGTATTCCTTCTGGCTTTATAAAATATCTAGGAAGCTCACTATTATATGTTAACAACAATATTCTAAAAAGATAGGATCGCAGTAATTTCTTTAAAAATTGTGGCAATATTTGGAGTCATTACAATGGAAAAAATTATAAAAAAAAGTTTTGTAACATATATATATATATAATATCAGTACTGTCATTGTCTTGAACACGGGGCCTAGATGATATCACTAAGCTTTACTTGCTCAAGACTAGCACTCTACCACTTGAGCCACAGCTCTGCTTCCAGCTTTTTGGTGGTTAATTGGAGGTAAGAATCTATGAACTTTCTGCTCAGGCTGGCTTTGAACTTGAATCATCAGATCTCAGCCTCCTGAGTAGCTAGGAATACAGGTGTGAGCCACAGCTGGCCTAATTTTAAGCACTATTTTCTAATTGCCTTTTTATAGCAGTAACAAGCTCAAGAGGGGAAATAAATTGTCCAAAGCTGAAAGAAGTCACAAGCAAATCCAAATATGTTTTCTGCTAATCTAGGCTTTTTCCTCTGCAGGTAAAACCTTCTGGATATCTTCTGAATGATCTTTCTAAACTGAAAGATGCTGCCTACGGCTGAGCCATCTTATTCACAGGAGCTGACTACTTTCAGAAAATCATTATGACATTTACAATATCAAATCTGTATCATATATATTATACCTGTATACATAAATACCTATTATATCACATAAGCATATACTCTATCATATCATTTCTATATCTTGTAGTTACAACACCAACCAACTGGTCTACCTATCACTAACTAGCAGTTGATTTGAGTAACTGTCTTTTTAGTATCAGTCCTGCTTTCTGGAAATGGCCCCAATAAGCAATAGGCTAGATAGGAATACTTAGAGGCCAAATACTTTAAGGGCCACAGTCTGTGTGGTCTCCATCATAACTATACCATGTGAATGCAGAAACAAAGAGAGCTGTGTGCCAGTAAAATTTTATGTATGGACACTTTGTTTATTGAACTCTAAATATGAAATGTAATATTCTTCCATTTTAAAAAGTGAAAAAAATCTTTAATTCATAAGTTAGGCAGACATGGAGAAGCTCAATTTGGCTCCAGGCTATAATTTGCCAACACGTGGGCTACCTAAAGGATGTCTGGCAATCTCATTAAGAACTATCAAAACACTGGATCTTTATTTAACCAGACAAAGGGAAATATGTGCTCTATATTTACTTCATTAGCCCAAATATTGCCATATACTCTTTAGAAATAAAAAAAAAATTTAAGCCAGCCACTGATGGCTCATGCTTGTGATTTTAGCTATGCAGGAGACTGAGATCTGAGGATCACATTTCAAAGCCAGCCCAGGCAGAAAAAGTCCATGAGACTGATTTCCAATTAACCAGCAAAATAAGCTGGAAGTACAGCTTTAGCTCAAGTGGTAGAGTACTAGCCTTGAATAAAACATCTAAATCAGATAAGTAAGAGCACAAGATCCTGAGTTCAGGCCCCAGTACTGGCACAAAAGAGAAAAAAATCCTCTTTAGTACATATATAATGTCATTACAGAAACAGGAATTTTTATAGGGACATAAAATAGACTAAAAAGCTATTTTCTTCAGCTATTCTTTATTCATTTTCTATTCTGCCTTCGCAAATCACTTTTAGGAAACCTCATCCAATCCACATACAGCTAATAAAATATTAATCATAGCCACTTTGTGTGTGTGTGTGTGTGTGTGCTGGTCCTGAGGCTTTAACTTGGGGCTTGAATACTGTCCCTAAGCTTCTCTTTACTCAAAGCTTGTGCTTTACCACATGTGCCACAGCTCTACTTCTGGATTTTTGAAATAGTTTTGGCGAAGATAAGAGCCTCACAGACTTTCCTGCCCAGGCTGGCTTTGAACTGCATTTCTCAGATCTCAGCCCCTGAGAAGCTAGGATTATAGGCGTGAACCACTGACACCTGGCAATCACAGACATTTTTGATTGTTGAGTACATATATTTAAATATAAGTATATATAATAGATGTAAATGAAAACAATAGATTACCTTCAAATGTAGGTCTTAATATAGTTTTCCTATGGCTAGTAAAATATGTTCTACCGAAATGGCGTGTGTTTGAGATGTACCTTGTACCACCGAACCTTCGCATCAGTTCTGTGAGGAAGAAAGTCCCTCAGGTCAGGACACACTAACATCCCAGAGGTTGACAAAGTCACAACTTGAACGTAGGAGACGAGCTTCAGGGAAGCTTTTGTATTCATAAAAACTCTGAGCTCAGTGGACATTTCACCACATTGAGAGGCATTTCTGATTTAAAAGGAAGGGGGAAAGAAAGGACAGTAAACAGCCAGCAAAGGCAAAATAAAAAGCTAAACGAAATTAAGAATAATTTTCCTCTGCTCTATTAAATTCTGTAACTTTGTTTTCTTCATGAGGACGAGGCTTCTGTTCTTTTTAAATCCTTGGGGTACAAAGAGCATAGCATCCTAATTGGGTAGAAACAGCAATTTGTCTTTGCTTTAACAACTGATCAGTGTTTCACCAGCCTACCAATGCCATCAAAAGCCACTAAGGAATCTCCAAGTCCTCTCAAAGGATCTTGAATCATTCCAATTCCCAAGCTTCTTGAACCCAGTACTGTGTGTTCTACAGCTGCATGGTCTACAGAAGCATATGCAAATGGAGAGCTTATTTCCTAAGAGCCATTTCCCATAAAAGGAAAATTTCCTGTACCTCTCTTGGGAGTCATTTACTAACCCAAGTCCAGTTTCAGAAAGCTGTGGGAACTTCATCTAAACAATACAATTGTTTGCAATACTTCATGGAGGGGATTAACTTCTGAGCTTGTTTGGTTGTTGTTGTTTTTTTAAGTTTTTTTGTGTGTTGGCCCTCCCATGATTTTAATGCCATAATGCTAGCAATTCTGTAGCATAATTCTGTAGTAGTGAGAAAGCAGCAGAAGCCAAACCTTGCTGGAAACATGGAGGAAATGGATGGAAGACAGTAATTAAAATAAATGGTATTTTTTGGTATTACTTGGGTTTGAACTTAAGGCTAGGCTCAGGCTAAGCCCAGTAGGATCTTGAATTTTTGCTCAGGCAGGCCTGAATTGCAGTTCTACGAATGCTTTCTGCATAGCTGGGAATACAGGTGTGGACCTCCACACCCAGCTTTAATTTGTTGACATGAAAGCCTCATCAACTTTTAGTCCTGACCAGCCTCAAATTATAATCCTCCTGATCTCCACCTCACAAGTAGCTAGGATTATAAGCATGAGTCACTGCAACTAGCAAAAGCTAATTTTTAAGCTAAGAAAGCAAAGGATATACATGTACCATGCATGAGGTACTAGGCTCAGCCCTCAAAAAATAAAGCATACAGAAAAAAAGCAATTATCTCAGATAAGTTTCTAATTGCCTAAGACACATAATCTATCCACTAAGATGATAAAGATAAACTTTACATGTGGGATAAAAATTACCCAGCAAAATGTGCCACAATATATATCCAAAGAAGCAATGAAACATGAAAAATATATGTGAAAGAAATTGTTAACTGCTTACTGAAAAGTAAAAACCATCATTTAAATATATAAGACCCATGGCTACATTAGATTTCCATATCTGATTTCAAAAAAGATAAAAATAGATGAGCAAACATTTCATGCTCATATAAAGGAAATTAACTCTCAGCTTAAAAAAATGTAGGATCTCAAGTGGTAGAGTGCTAACCTTGAGCTGAAGAGCTGAGGGACAGCGCCCAGGCCCAGAGTTCAAGCCCCATGACCGGACCCCCCCCCCAAAAAAAATGTAGGATCTCACTTCAAGTAGAAGAAATAGGAGGCCAAGGCTAATGAACAGTGTACACTTGAAAAGTCATCACCAAGGTAGCTAGACCAATGCTGGGCTATGCTTTACATATATAGTTCCTTTATGCTCACCTCTCTACAAGGTAGAAATTATTATAACATGTTTGTGAGAAAAATTAGATACAACAATTAATTGCTTATGTGTGCCTGGCTATTGGTAGATCTCAGCCTTGTTGGGACCCAGCAGAACTCTGGGAAAGTCCATACATTAAGGCAGCACTTCTGGGAACCAAGCCTATTAGACATACTGAGAGCTGCAAAGCTGTTCACACGCAGATCTGGTAATTCCCCTTGGGCTGAGCTTGGGAGGCCATTTGTTCCAGGAACATCACCTCAACTGTTCTGAATAGCAGAAAGTCTGTGTTGGTTCTAAGTAGCACAAAAATCACAGGGCAAGGCAAGCTTGTGTTCTGTGGCTGTACATGCCAGAGTACTATGGCAACCTCTGGTCATTTTCATTCAACTTTGAAGCCCAGCATTGAGCAATTGAGAGTCTGAAAAATCAGCCAGGTAAACTTCCTACACATAAATAAATGTCTGTCAGTATATTAGGATTTCCACAAGTGGTTATTTCTAGGGGGGGTTGGGGAGGTTTTATGTGAAACTTTCACATGAAGTTAAAACCTTCATTACACTGTACCCAAAAAAAAATAACTGAAAACTTTTCAAAGCCCCATATTAAAGGACTAAAACTATAAAATCCCTAGAAGGGAATTTCTAGGGAATCATGAGTCGTTGGGGCAGATATTCTTGATGCCAAAAGCACAGGCAATATAAACAAAACAGATCAATTAAAATTAGTCAAAACTGAAATCTTTTGTATATCAAAAGACCCTATCAACCGAATGAATGAGGAATCACAGAATGGAAGAAAATATTTGCAAGTCACATATTCAATAAGGGGTTGATATTCAGAACTCTGACAAGTCAACAAAAATACAATTTTTAAATGGACAAAGGAGCCAGATACAGGTGACTCACACCTGTAATCCTAGCTACTCAGGAGTCTGAGATCTGTGGATTGTGGTTTGAAGCCAACCTGAGCAGGAAAGATTCTTATATTCAATTAAGCACCAAAATACCAGAAATGGAGTTATGACTCAAGTGGTAGAGTGGTAACCTTGAGAAATAAATAAATAAATAAATAAAACTCAGGGACAGCATCCAGGATTCTGGCTCAGAAGTTCAAGCCCGAGGGCTGACACAGAATAAAAAGGAAGTGGTAGAGAGGGTTGCAAAGGACTTGAATGTATGGGTCTCCAAAGAAGAAAGACAAATGGCCTAATAGTGCATTAAAAAATGCTCAGCATCACTAATGACTAGGAATATCCCATTCAAAACCACAATGAGATACCATTTCATACCCCTTAGAAACTGCTGAAAAAAGTAGAAAATGAAAATAGGCATTAGGAATGTAAAATGATGCATCAATGTGGAAAACAGTATGGCAGTTCCGAAGGAAGGAAGAAGGAAGGAAGGAAGGAAGGAAGAAGGAAAGAAAATCAAACATACAAGTGCTAAAGGATCCAGCATCTTCTTTTCCAGAAATATGTCAAAAAAAAAACTAAATAAATGAATAAACTGGATGCAGGAATTTAAGGTCATATTTGCACACTCATATTCATATTGGCCTATTCACAAGATTTAAAAGACAGAATTAGGGGCTGGGAATGTGGCTTGGTGGTAGAGTGCTTGCCTAGCATGCATGAAGCCCTGGGTTCAATTCCTCAGTACCACATAAACAAAAAAAGCCAGAAGTGGCACTGTGCTAGCTTTGAGCACAGAGAGGCTCAAGGACAGTGCCCAGGCCATGAGTTCAAGCTCCAGGACCAGCAAAAAAAAAAAAAAAGACAGAACCAACCCTTGTATTTGTGGATGAAATTCTGAGTCTTAATTCTCAGCATTGTAAAGGAAGGAAATTCTGATCCACACTGTGATATGGATGAATCTTTAAGACATCATGTCATGCTGTCAATAAAATAGTCACAGAAAAACAAGCCTGTGAGTCTATTGATACAAGATATATAGAATACTTATGTTCATGTCAGAAGTAGTAGTCAAATTCATAGACACAAAGGAGAGCTGTTGTTCAGTGGGTCCAGAACTTCAGTATGGAAGGATGAAAGCCTTCTGGAGATGATCACACAGCAGTGCCAATAAACTTAATGGTCCTGAGCCATACACTTAAAAATAGTTAAGGGAGCCATCAATAGCTCCTGCTTGTAATCTTACCTTCTCAGGAGGCTGAAATCTCAGGATCTCAATTCAAAGCCAGCCCAAGCAAATAAATCCTAGACACTCCAATTAACAAGCAAAAAGACAAAAATGGAAGTGTGGCTCAAGTGGTAGAGCAGCAGCCTTGAGCAAAAATGCTGACCAAGCATGAGGCCTTAAGTTCAAACCCCTGTACCAGAGCGCGTGTGCACGCGCGTGCACACACACACACACAGTTAAGGTAAAATTTTGTCATATGTGTTTTGCTATATTTTTTTCCAAAAGCAACAAGACAAAAAGTGGGGAAAACTAGTCAGGAATCATGGCCTCTAGGGTCAGCTCTACCATGTACTCCCTACCTGGGGAAATTCTGTAACCAACTTTGGGTCTCTTATCCATAAAATAGGGAGTGTGATTTAATTATCCCTAAGACCCCCACGCAACTCTAAAATCCTACTCAGGGTTCCACATCTGTTTCTTATTTCACTACCATGTGGATTGATCATGAAGAAAATAAACCAAGTTCCTGCCCAATGGCTTACCAAATGTTAAATATGGACAGGGAGAGAGAGAAATACAGAGAGGGGAAGGCATCAGATGGGAAAATATGATAAAGAAAAATAAAAACAGAGTAGTGAGAATGCTGTGTCTGCTAATATGGTTAGGAAAGTCCTCCCCAAAGAAGTGACATGGAAGCAAAGACCAAATGAATTCAAAGAGAAGAGGGAACTATAAAACATCCAGTGACAGGTATTCCAGGGGCAGCAAGAACACAATATGGCTTTTCACTTGGGTACTTGGAAATCCAGACTGTCAGTGAAACACACACAGAAATCCATTGTGCCAGGAACAGGGCTACCCCAGCCCTGTCCCAGAGGGGCTTACCTGACTGTGCAGATGTAGGTGTCAGAGTCCTCTCTCAAGGCAGGCAGAAGCCAGAGAGCACCATCCCCAACCCACATCCTTGGTTCTTTTCTTGGGACCAGCTGGGCAGAGTTGTTTTTACGCCAGGTCAGGAGGATGTGGGAGCTGGCATTTGCCTCTAACTGAGACTGTACCAGGGGACACTTCAGAACCACAGGTTCCCCTTCCAGCCTGTATTCTGCTTTATAATGTTTACCATGAAATTGGCAGAGTGTCGAAGCCACTGAATGGGGAAACCACAGAGAGATCCAGGCTTTAGGTCCCAGCCCTTTAAATCACAAAACTTCCCCCATCCCAGACCGAAGCTGGCACTGGCAGAGGGTCACATAACTTAGCCGAAGATGCTACATGTCCATTACCATGACTTCAGGAATAGCAAGCCAAGAATTACTTACCAATACCAAGTTTTAGTGAAAAGAATCAGTTTCACATGGTGACAATCACTCTTTTTTAATTTGGTTTTATTTTTCATTGGCTGACATTCAAAACAGCCCTCAGACTAATTATATGGTTCAATTCAAAGGTACTTGTTTTTGTCATTTGTGGGGCTTGAACTCAGGGCTTGGGCACTGTCCCTGAGCTCTTTGCTCAAGGCTAGCACTCCATTTCTTTGAGCCACTGTGCCACTTCCTGTTTTCTGTGGTTAACTGGAGGTAAGTGTCTCACACACTGTTCTGCCCAGGATGGCTTTGAACTGCAATCCTCAGATCTCAGCCTCCTGAGTCAAAGGTACTATTTTTTTAAAGAGTGAATTAGACATATCGTGGATTTGTTCCTTGGTAGGACTGACCCACCCAGGGCTTGAGCAAATGAAATCATCAAGGAGCAGCTTTTGGTACTCACTGAAGCATGAATATTTTGTACCTTGGTTTTTGATAAAATAATGAAACACTATGAGGAAACTTCCCCCAGAGAAGCTCCAGGCTAGCTCTTTTCCAGCTGAAGGGGGTTTCCTTCTTACCTGCTTGTTCCTCTGGCTGAGTGGTCAAGGCAGAAACACACACTATCAATATATACAAGATGAACATTGTTTCCAACAGCTTCTGGAAAATACTGGAAGTAGAGATCTGGGGTCCAGGGCCCTGTCGCCTAGAGGAAAAAACAAAACAGTCACTAGAAGTCATGAACTCCCAAACAGAGAAGACCTTGAAGATGATCTCAGAGTCCAAATCTTGAAGCTGTCCCTAATCATGGAAACATTCTCACCTCCATTTTTTTTTTGTCAGTTGTGGGGCTTGAACTCTGGGCCTGAGCATTGTCCCTGCACTCTTAAGCTCAAGGCGAGAGCTCTACCACTTGAGTCACAGCTTGACTTCTCACCTTTTGTTGTTTGATTGGAAATAAGATTCTCATAGACTTTTCTGCCCAGGCTGGCTTTGAACTGTGCTCCTCAGATCTCAGCCTCCTGAGTAACTAGGATTATAGGCGTGAGCCACCGCTGCCTGGCCTGCCTCCATTTTTTTTTAAGTAAGAAAATGCAAGACTTCTGTATTTTTTTCTGTATGGTTCTATTTCTTGATCATATCCCAAGTCAAACTCCTGAAGTATCTGCAGATCTACCTAGATTAGGAGTTCCATACCCTAGGTTTCCAACTGGAATATTCTAGAACTGTACCTCAGGTCCCTCTGTGCCTCAGTTAAGGCCACTGTCCAAGCCCACCACATCCAGATCTTGGCTCACATGGCAATCTCTTAGTGACATCTTCTCCTTTCCACCTTTCCATCCCAATACTACATATTTTTTAAGTGATTCTGTCTTTTACTATGAAAACTCCACTTCATTTTATTACAGTTCCATCTCCAATTGCCATTTCTTGAAGGAATGAATCATTAAAAACCTAAAGGTCCTCATGTCTCACTTGTCAGAGAGCTTTCTCCTCAGTCATCCCTCTATCCAATACTACAGCTGTACTCAATCAAACACAAATGGAAAATATTCAAAAATATGAGTACATCATTGCCAATGTAGCTGGTTCTAATTCTTTGTTACCTGTTAGCTTTCCAATGATGTGTGATCTTGTCTCATAGGAAGTTACTGTGCTTCCTCAGCCTTGGCTCCTTTTGTTCAATTAAAGACAGAAGTCATGAAAGGACAGGCAATTCTACTGAGCCTTATGCTCAAGCGTAAGAAGATAGGGTCAGCACACTGGGGAAGTTCCCCACACACTCCTCAGGGAAGCAAAGAAGAAAGCTTATCTATGTTAGCTATAAATGAAACAAATGACTTTCAGCAAGCAAACCTGCAGATCCACAGCCTCAGTTTCCATCTACTCAGAAATGTCCCTCAGCCTCCCCCGTACCTCAGCTGAGACTGCTGCTTCAGCGCCAGCTTCCCAAGATCTGTGCTCACACACCACTGGCTCTGTCGATAACATTTTTCCCCAGCTCCCTGTGTTCAATGTCACCACCTCTCCCTCCCAGCGGTCCATACATTCTTCACTGGTTCTCTTAGTCACAATGCCATTCATCTTCATTGAACACGGTAACTCAGAGGAAGGTCTCTATCATCTATAACTCTTTTCTGTTTATCAAGAACACTGACTGGGAGGCATTGAAATCTTGCTCCCTATTCTAGTGACTTATAGGCCAGATTCCTTTCCTGAGGGTGTAGGCTAGAAACTTTGCATGACAACTAGTTTAGCAAGTCTGGAAATCCCAAAGTACAGTCCTCTGAGGCTTGATGAATGGTGCTAACAATCAATGAGTCATCCACATATTGTAAGCAAGTCCCATTCCTTAATGGTGGTGCTCTCAACTCTTTATCCAAAATTGGTTCCTATGGGTCAGGATCACATCATTAGAAGGTGAACTCTGCATGGAGAAGAATGCACCTGAGACATGGTTAAAAAACAATGGGCCAAGGGACCTGGCCAGTACTCCCCATTTGGGTTTCTTTAGTGGACACAGGGACTGCATTGTCTAATGAATCCATGTCCAAGAAATCCCTTTAACAATCAATTTCAGGCTTGGGTTGTATTTTAATGGGCCATCAGGAAAGTGTAGGAGTTTAAAATCAGGACTATCAAGGAGCACTATTAGATCTGTTGGATACTAGCTCTACAAAAAAACCTGTATTTCATGTAGAGAATTAGAGGCACTTTGTTTAAATATACAGGAAAGTTCATATATGAGGGATAAAGAAGTCAACAGGTTGAGTCAGGACAGAGAAGACAAACTCAGTGTCCAATAAAATTCTGTTTTACTACCTGCCACACCGAAGGTTAACCAAGGCTCTGCTGACGTGATAGTGATTTTTTTTCTTTTGGCACAGTGACTATGCCTTTTAGGGTAAGCTTGAGTTCCATGTGGAATGCTATCTAGTTGTTGCTCCAGGCTGTGTCCTTCTTTCCAGGAATCAACACACCTGTTCTGACCCACATGACCTGCCTCCCATTGGAAACTGGCTATAGATACTCTGGAGCCTTGTTACCCTAACGTGTGGTAGTCCAATTACAGTATCCAAAACCTGTGTTGTTATGGTTTCCTATTCTTCTTGGCTCTATCTCTGTTGTTAGAGACTTTCAAGGCTTTGTCTACCAAGATTAGCAATGGGGTCTAAAGATCTGCCTCCAGCTTTTGGAACTTCCTTCAGATATCTGGGACAGCCTATGTTACTAAAATGTGTAGTTGCAAATGCTCTTTCTTCCACTGATCCTGGACCAGTGTGGGTGATTTTTCAGAAGGTCCCTGAAAAGTGGTTCAAGAATACCATAGAATTTTCTTCTTTTTTTTCTAGGACATCTCCCTATACTTATGCTAATTAACAGATTTAACTAGGCATTTATTCATTCCTTCAAAAAAGACATTCCATTCCAGCTATGTATACTATAGAAAGTTCTCAAGATCCTGAATAAGAGGTACACATCTTCTCTAGGTTACCGAACATTATGTCCCAGGGTGTTGGCTGCTCACCCATCAGCTTCCTCAGCAACCTTCTTAAGAACTCTTTTCTTTCATTAGAGGCTCAGCAATGGGTTATGACTGCAATAACATCCCTCCAAGTTAGCACAAAAGTAGTCAAATGCAACCTAAAGAACTCATCCCTGAGTGTGTCGGCATTCTTTAAGAAGCTACCAAATCTTTCCTTACATTGGATCACATCATTTATCAAAAGGGAAACACTTGTATCCTGGTAAGTATTCTATCTGCACTCGGCACTTCTGCAAAGTGCAAGCTGATGCCCTTGAGGGCCAATGTCAGCTTATTTACCAACCCAGAACTCATTAGAAATGAAATGGATGGGATAAGTGAGCTGGAGGTCAAAGAAGAAGAAATACTTCAAGTAAAACCTAGAATGGAAAACCTTCAGGAAAACACAGCTCATTAACTAAAATCTTTGTATTTAGAAGCACAGCCTAATACGTATTTCTACCATAATGCTAGGGAAGCACATGAAACAGCTCACAGAGCTGATTGTCCTTCTGCCTTTTGAAAGTAACCAGGGTGTGACATCCATAAATGTAGCTGTCTAACGCATGTTGAGTTAGGAGACAGTTGCATCCATTCTCATTCAACCAGGTTGTTCTTGGTAACTTCCCATTTGGACACCAGGTGATAAGAATCACCTAGAAGCTTTCAAAAATTACCAAATGCTCATGCCAATTAAATCTAGAGGAAGAGCCCCCAAATCAGTATAATTTGTTTTTCCCCAAGTGACTAACATGTAGCTGGTTGTAGACACTGTGCATTGTTTCTACAGATCAGTTGCCTAAAAGTCATGTGAATACTTCTCTAAAGCCCAGCAGAAAAGGTGAGTTTTAGAAAGAGACAATTTTGTTTCTTTTACAGATTCAGCCTTCTGCATGAGAAGTACAGGACTCTGAAAGGGAGGAATGAGACAGAGGCAAAGCACCAGTGGGAAGCAGCAGTCAGCCAGGATGTCTGGGGCAGGGTCTGAGGGCCTCAAGGGCTAGCAGGTTGCAGTTCACAGTTCTAGTAGACGTTCCTGATATCAATCCATCAAGGACTGGACTCAGGGAATTTCTCACCACTTCTCTTTCCTACAGAATAGACTAAGCTAGAGCATGGGGTTACACCTTAGAGAGCTGTTTTCCAAGACTACTACTTTTGGGGGATTTAGCTTTGTTTTGTTTATTTTTTTTCTTGACATCAATTCATTATACAAGGGTTTAATTTTGAAATGTCCATTTACGCACACAATCTACCTTGATCAGACCTTGACCATGCCTTCCATCACTCTCCTTCCCACTTCACCCCTTCCCAAATGAGTCTCAGAAAGCTTTATTTTTTTTCCATTTTCACACATATACATAAAGTATTTTGGCCATAGATTCCCTTCTTCATCCTCTTCCTTTTCCCTTCCACTCCCACACCTGCACAGGACATGTTTTACCTTCTGAATCTCCAACATTTTTGCTACTAAAGTCAAAAAACCTGGCTGGGAAATCAAGCCTTTCTTATTCTATCTACTTGTCATTATTCCCTAACAAAGCAATATAACAACTATTTGCCCCCTATTTCCAATGATTCAGATAGTGTAAATTATCTAGAAACAGTTTCAAGTTTATAGGAGGATGTGCTTAGGTTATAAACAAATACCACACCTTTTTTATTTTTTATTGAGGAATTGGATATTGAACCCAAAGCTTAAAGCATACTAAGGAAGTGCTCTATTTCTCCAGCCACACCTTTAGTCCTTTTGCTGTTTCTGTTGTTTGCTCAGGCTAAGCTCAAACTTGAGATCTTCCTTTCTCCACCTCCAGAGTAGCTAGGATTACAGGTATGTACCACCATGCTGTTTACTGTGCTATTTTGTATAAGAACCTCCAGAATCCTTGAATTTTGATATTCTGGGGATACGTAAGCCAATGCCCCATCATTACCCTTCTCACATTGGTGATTCTATCAGCTAACCATTGCCACAACAATTCAGCATAAGAAATCATCTCCAAATTATTTGGCATAAAGCAATCATTTCCTCTCACTCTCAAGTCCATGGCTACTCCAAATCCTAGCTACTCCAAAGGCTAAGATCTGAGGACCTCTGTCTGAAGCCAGCTCAGGCAGGAAATCCATTGAGACTCTTATCTCCAATTAAACACAAAAAGCCAGAATGGAACTGTAGTTCAAATGGCAGAACACCAACCTTGAGAAAAACAGTGAAAAAACAGCAAACAGCACCCAGTCCTGAGTTAAGTCCTAGTACCTGAAGGGGAAAAAAATAAATCTATGGAGGAGGTTGGCTAACCTAGATCAGGCTGAGTTAAGCCTGGCTCCAAGTTATAGGTAGGCTACTCCATGTGTCCCTCATTCCTCTTGCACAAGTAAACATCCTGGGAGAAGATCTTCTCAGGGAATAGCAAAAACACAAGCAATGGAGACAAAGTCACTCAACTGCCATGCTCAGAACCAGCTCCTTCTTGTCTTCCCACATTCCATCAGCCTTAAGAAATCACAGGTCAAATGTGCCATCAGAATTATGCTGGGAGGGGTAAAGCAATGGGAGCATATGTGTCATCTCCTGTGCTTGCTCCTTACCTGGCTCTCCACAGATGGTGACAACCTTCAGGACAGAGGCTGACTCTTGTTCACAGCCCATATGGCCTCACAATGCCAGAAAGTACCAGAGAATATTTATCCAGAATGAAACCAAAACTGAGTTACCACTCCACCTCTCCATCTCTCCATATAAACCCACATGGCTCTTCAGAGAAGGGATGACATTGAGAATTCTCTAGACAAATGATTAGAGAACCAGAGTCCAAAGGATCATCTCAGCTCATAGAGATGAGGAGCCAGGACCTGATATTTCTCCCTTAGCTGTGGATCTGAGCAGGAGCGATCTCCCCAAAGCTGTTCCTCTCATGTTTCCAAAGTACAAATGCTTCCCTTCAACTCTCACCTCATCCTTGAGTTTGGCAGCCTAAAAGCTGCAGAAGCATCAGTCACTTTGTCCTCTTTGGACACACATCTATGCATCATGCACCCAGCTGTACGGGTTGTAGTTAGACTCACTCATCCTCTGGTATGGAAGTAAAACAAGTAGGAATGAAAAATGATGCTCCTTATTTGAATAGGAAAGCAAAGGCAAAGATTCTTGTGTAGGGACAATTGTATTAGTGACCATTACTGTGACTCTCATTTGATCTCATGTGGTATCATGCCAACCTTACAGACAATGTATTAAAAGAGATTAAAAGGTTTGGCTTAGGCCTTCTAGCTACTAAGTAAAAACTGATTTAGGACTGGTGATTCAAAAGTTTTTGCTCTTTAAAAAAATAACTTTCTGTAGCAGATACTGTTTGTTTCTTCCCTCTCTACTCTACTCTCCAATAATGGAAACTCTGACTCTCAAGTGGGTTCATGGCCCATCCAAACAAAAGCCATATTTCTCCTTCTTTCTTACAATAGGAATGGCCATGTGACAAAATTTGGTTAATGAGCATAAGAAGAAACATGTGATATTCTTGGGAAATTCTTATAAAAAAAAAAAGACTTAAAGTCTAGCAACCCCATTCCTGGGCATACATCCAAAGGAAATGAAATCAGTGTGTGGAAGAGATATCTGCACACTCCCGTTTATTGCAATATAATTCACAATAACTAAAATCTGGAATCAACCTAAATATCCCACAGGGGATGAATAAAGAATACTATACACACACACACACACACACACACACACACACACACACACAATGGAATACCATTAAGCCATTTGTTAAAAAGGATGAAACCTTATAATTCATGACTACATGGGTTGAACTGAAAACATCATGCTAAGCAAAATAAGTTGCATGCACAAATACAATTTGAACTTACATATTGAATCTTGAAAATGTTGACTACATGTTATTGATATCATATTGATTATCACAGATGAATGGGTGGAGGTAGAGAGAAAAAGCTGGTGATAGGCTGGTCAATGGGTACTACAAATAGAGAGGAGGAATGAGGACTACTGTTCCAATTGCACAATGGAATGACTACTGTTCACAACCGTTCATTGTATAAGCCAAAAGAACCAGAAGAAAGAATTTTAAGTATTTTCACCACAATAAATGATAAACACGCCAAGTGGATATGTTATTTATCCTGAATTGTTCACTATATAATGTATTCATGTTACCATTGAACCCCTACAAATATATACCATTAGTATGTGTCATTCCTTTCCATTACCAGCATGGATAAGATTGCTGGATTATCACCACCATTTTGGACCACCAGGTACAGAGGGTTAATGGACAGTGATGGAACACTGAAAAGGGGTGACCCTCCTTGATGGTTTTGTGAATCCATTCACCACCTTAGACTACTTTCTCTTACATATTCATGTTTTAGCATCATACAGGCAAGCCTAGCCCCAGTACATTGTGTGTCTGGAGTTTATAAAAAGAGCTTAGGAGAAGGAGCCTGCCAAGCATCATCAGATGCTCTGTGCTCACAGCCCATTCGGCTGATTCTCTGAAAATCTCTGACTCAAGAGTTGTTCAGCCCCTACCCCAAGGCTCACATTGTTTCTGTATTAGTCTTAGCCTCAGATTTCATGGAGGTCTGAAAACATGTTTACACTTGCTTTGAAGGATAGGTGGACTGGAAGCAATTTTGTGAGGCTGAACTCTGTACCCCAAGCCTAACCCCTCAACACAGGGACCTGCAATGCCACCTTGACCCCTACACAGTACTAAAACTAAGATATTTAAGCATTTATGTATAACGAAGAGAGTTAGAATCTGGCGATGATGTGGAGGTGATCTGAAAGTACATCATTGTCCTAGAAAAACCTTCCTGTGGATGTGTTTTCTGGCTCATGTTTTTAGTCTTCAGAAATCTTACTTGGACGTTCAATGTATAAACCAGTAGAGCAATTAAACATTTTTATTCAGTGTGGAATAAAACTGACCAGGATTTAGGCTCAAGGCCATTAAGATTTTCTGGCTAAATAATCAACTAAGAGTATTTATTGTGTATTTTATGACAGGAAGAGCCTTGAGAAATAAAAGGAAATGCATGTGTCATTAGTACAAAAGTTTGAGGTTAGAAGACAAAGTCAAATCGCTTCAAGTTTATCTTTTACAATAAAGTCAATTTATCAAATGCATTGGAAAGACTCCTCTTCAAGGCTGTGGAGTTAATGAGAACAATGCAGATGTGGTTCCTACCCTCATAGAGTTTTCAGTGTGTTGAGAAAGAGTGGCATTGAATTAAGCAAGTCTAATTACTGTTGGAAAAGGAGAATTAAGTTGTGCAGAGGGAATTCAGAAAAACTAGGTGTTAGCTAATCTGAGGGCTCATACATACGAGTTTGCCTTGAGTCTCAAAGGAGATGTGAATTTGAACTTTTGAACAAAGTTGGAACCGCTAAGACTTTGGAGACTCTTGAAAGGGGATTAGTTGTATTTAGCATTACAAGATGGCCCATGAATAGTGATGGATGGGAGGGAGAGAATAAGAGACAAAGAGGGAACAGCTGATCCTAAACAAAAGGAAAGAAATGTATATATCACCTGATTTGTGAAAGAATAGTTTTATTGTTAAAGGTCATAGAGTCCATAAGCAATGTAGATTAAGATAATGATGATTGTCATTGTGAATATTAAAAGGTATTTGTGACTTAAAAAATTTAAAAACAACAAAAATAATAAGATTTTTTTTTTAAAGATGGCCCATGAGTCTTTGAGAGCCAGAGGTGGAAAGGTATGGTATAAGCAAATGTGATTGGGTGTCAAGTTGAAAAAGTGTAGATTTGTGATGGTGAATCTTAATTGCCAACTGATTGAATTGAGAAATCCCTGAAAAATTAATAAAGAACAGTTCTGAGTTTTCAGAGATACCTAGATCACAAGGGCTCTCATCTAATGAATGTCAATTTCTTGATGAGTTTATAGTCCGATTACATTATTGGGAGGTGATTAAAGTAGTAGGCATAATTGGAGAAGGTAGGTCACTGCCATTTTTACTTTTATGTGTCCTTGGAGGCTAGATCTTGTCCTCTCCACTTATAATCCCTTTCTCTGTTTCCTGGCCACCATGATGCCAGCATCTCTGCTCTACCACATCTTCTCCATCATGATGGATTGACATGTCTGAAACTGAGAGGCCAAACAAACCACAAGTTATTTCTATCAGTTATTTGGTCACAGCTACACAAAGGCTAACAGAGAGTCACTGTCATAGTATATGGTTTATATGTGATCTGTCATTGAACAAAATGTCATTATACAGTATATGGAGATATGTGTATATACATTATATAGTTCCATATATGTGTATATATACATTTATAGTATATACATACACATACATATATATATATATATATATACATATATATATTATTGTATAAGTTAAAAAGGAAAATGCCACAAACCCAAGCCTCAAAAGTACCTCTGTTGATTATTTCATATTTCCCTATAGGAATACAACTTTTTTTTGTATCCACTATTTCAAAAAAAAAATCTCTTTCATTGAAGATTATTTTATGGATGTCATTTCCTTGCTTTCCCAGTACTTACTGTGAACCACTCATCTCCGGAGATCTGCCACAACTGTGTTGCCCTTATCAGTGATGATGTTAATTTGCATATCTGTAAGGTATAACATTTGAAAGGTTTATAAGAGTATAAAGTAGAAAGACTCTTTCCTTTTAAAATGGATCTCCTAATTCTCCTCAGGTGCTACCCTTAGCAGGTTTTTGTCCTTTACCATTATTCTTTTATTTATGTTATTTTATCGGGCTCTGTGTGTGTGTGTGTGTGTGTGTGTGTGTGTGTGTGTGTGTGTGTGTGTGTGTATACCAGTACTGAAGCTTGAACTCAGGACCTTGATCTCTCACTTGACTTTTTCCCTCAAGGCTTTAGGGCTATCACAGGAGTCACACCTTCACTTCTGGCTTTTTAGTGGCAAATTGGAGAAAAGAGTTTCACTGGCTTTCCTGCCCAGGGTGGCTTTGAATCTTGATCCTCAGATCTCAGCCTCCTGAATAACTAGGATTACAGACATGAACCACCTGCATTTGACTCACCCCTTTATTTTTTCCACTATATTTTTATTTTCTCTAAGTAGCTGTATAAACAGTAGTTTATGAAGACAGTGCTTCTTGATCAATGTCACCCCTCTTAACATTCTCACTCACCCCTCCTACCTTACCTTTTCCCTCACTTTTCTTAACTTTTAGGTTATGTACTGAATTTTTTGCCATTTAATAAAGCAATGAATCTTGATCTGTATCATTCATCCCTTCAATACCTTCCTTTTATTTTATATTCCTTTATTTACTCACACTTCATCATTCAGAGATATATACCCCATCTTTTTGGCTTTTGTTATTTTTTTGTAGGGGGGATTAGAATCTCCAGGCCAGCCTGGACTACCATCCTCCTATGTGCACTTGTACTGTAGTTGGAATGGCAAGCATACATCACCACACCCAGCTAACTTGTAAAGATAGATGCTCACTAATACTTTACCAGAGCTGACTTTGAATTGCAATCCTGCCAGGCTGTGCCTCTTGCAGTAAATATTCTTTAATCTCATCACTTTATTTTGTGATTGAACATATAGTGCCAGTATGTTTTCAGTAATAAAATAAAACAGACTGAATGACTGGCCAAGAAAGAGTTATTTTGCTGAAGAGCATCAGAGATTCTACTGCCACCTCTTCTTCAGACAGGTAATGGAGATGAGTTGGAAACGGTACAGATTGCACAGCTTGTCAGGAAGTTGGACCCCATTGCACAGCTGGTCAAGAGAGAGGAAAGAGATGTTCGACAAGAGCCCTTTTGCAGAAGAATGAAATTCGGAAGCCACCTTCTGGCCATGCTCCAACCTACCCCCACCAGGGAAGCTGTCTTGGTTTCTTTCCCTGGACTTCAGTATAACAGATGTTTGACTTGACTTCTCCAGGATGTGGCTTCACACCACAAGCACATAGTAGTAACATTTTGCAGTCATCAGAAACCTCAGAAAAGGGGCTGGAACCCAAATTGCTGTAGCGTGGGAAATAGTGAATCTTTGACAGTCCCAGAAATGAGCGAGGGAGATTTGTTTGCAGAGGTTTGCAGCAAAACATTATTCTCCTGCCCTACTTTCTTTAAGAATGTTTTCAAAGCACAAGCAGTATAACATTTCTCCTGAAATCTGACTTGACCTTATTACCAGAAAAAATTTCTATGATAGCACATTCCAAGTATTTAAAGTTCAAACTCTTTTTTCCCAAAGAAATAAGCATGTTTCACCTCCCTCCATGTAAGAAAGCAAAAGAATAAGATGAAAAGCATGGCAGGACATAAGAAAATAAGAGAGCAGACATTGGTGGCTCATGCCTGTAATCCTAACTACTCAAGAGGGTAGTTCAAAAGAGGATCCTAGTTCAAAACCCAGGGCACAAAAGTCTATGAGACTCTTATCTCCAATTAACCAGCGAAAAATCAGAAGTGGAGCTGTAGCTCAAGTGGCAGAATACTACCCTTGAGTGAAAAAAACTAAGAGACAGCACCCAGGTCCTGAGTGCAAATCCCAGCACTGGGAAGGAAGGAAGGAAGGAAGGAAGGAAGGAAGGAAGGAAGGAAGGAAGGAAGGAAGGAAGGAAGGAAGGAAGGAAGGGAGGGAGGGAGGGGGGAGGGGGGGAGGGGGGGAGGGAAGGGAGGGGAGAGGAGGGGAGGGAGGGGGGAGGGGGGAGGGAGGAGGGAGGAAGGAAGGAAGGAAGGAAGGGAGGGAGGGAGGGAGAGAGGGAGGGAGGGAGGGGGAGGAGAAAGAGGAGGAGGAATCTGGGGCAGGGGTAAGGTGAGGCTCTAAGTCCACCTGACAGAAGAAAGAAGAGAAGAAAAGAAGAAAGAAGGAAAATGAGGGGAATGTGTGAGGAGCTAATGGAAGGAGGGAGGATACATTAAGGTAGAAAGAGCTAAAGACACAACAGCAAGTAGACAGGTATGACAGCACTACAAGCATCTTTCTACACCACATACTGAGGCCTAGGTAACTAACTGGCCATCTCCCTTTTAATGCCAGGGATCAAAAAGGACAACACGTAAAGCCTAAGGTGCAAAAAAGACTAAAAAGCTGAAAGAATATTGTGACCAGCCAGACCAGTGGCTCACCTTTGTAATCTCAGCAATTCAGGAGGCAGACATTGGAAGGATTGCCATTGAAGGCTAGGCCAGGTCAAAAACAGAAGAAGAAAAAAAAGCAAAACTTCATCTCTAATCAATAAAATCTTGGTATGGAAGTGGGTGCCTGTCATCTTAGTTATATGAGAAGAGGAGAAGCATAAATAGTACTGCTGTCCAAGAAGGCTAGGAGAAAATGTGACTTTATATAAAATCTAACTAAGGGAAAGGGGGCTAGAGGTTTCACTCCAGTGGTAGAATATTTTGGGCCTAGCAAGTACAGGACCCTAAATTCAAACCCTAGCAATGCCAAAAAAAATAGAGAAAGAAATAGAATGGGATGGTCAAGACCAGTATATATTTCACCTTGATTCATTTACTAACATTTTGCGAATTTGTGTTTGGGGTTTGTGCGTGTGTGCGTGCCTGTTCTGGGGTTTAAAATCAGAGCCTGGACAGTGTTCATTCAGGACTAGCACTCTACCCCTTGAGCCAGAGCTCCACTTCCAGCTTTATTTTTTTTTCTGGTAGTTAATTGGAGATAAGAGTTTCATGGACTTTCCTGTCCAGGCTAGCTTTGAACCACCATCCTCAGCTAGGGTTACAGATGTGAGCCACTTGCATCTAACCGGTTTTTTACTTGGTTTTATTTTGTTCTGGATTTGTTGTTATTGTTGTTGTTGTTTTTCAGTATTGGGGATTTAACTCAGGTCTTCATACTTGCCAGGCAAGACTTCTTCCTCTTCAACCATATTCCCAGTCCTTTTACCTCCAGTTTATTTCTCAGATAGGGACTCCTACTTTTTCCCAGACAGACCTCAATCTATCTTCCTTCCCCTGATTCCCACAAACTGGGACCACAAATATGTGCCAACTTAACCTACTTCTGCATTTACTTTTTTCTTGTTTCCTCTAAGGTATATAACTGATAGATAGACAGACAGATATGTATATGCACGCATATATGTATATGTTGAATTATACACATACACGTATATATATATATATTCCCTTAAATGCTTGAAAGTTATAGATCACTGGCTTTATTCCTAAATACTTCAGAATAAATGCAGGAATACATTTTTTTAAGCAAATTGAGAACAATTAAGTTAGGGGATGGCCCCAGAAATAAAAAAATAAATAAATGTTTCTATGGTTTATTTGAATTTATTGAGACTAAAGTCACTGCAGTGATTAAGCCTTTTTTTATTACTATCCCTGCTCCTTCCCAGAAGGTTTTTAGGCAACTGCCCCAGCTCTGAATCAGGCCAAGTAGTCATTTAAAGAACAAAACTAAGGAGCAGATGTTGAATGTTAATGACGTCGATTACCTCTCAGGCTTTACACTTATCACTTAAGTCATATCCAATATAGAAAAATCAATTCCCAAAATCCACCCACACATGTTTCATGCATGTCATATAGCACTTTTTGAAACCCATGAGAAAAAAATACGTATTTCTATAAAAATTAATTCTCAGGCAATCACAATCATTTTAAGATGGTGCAGCATAAGAAAGACTCTCTAGTTTCTAATAAAGAGAAATCTATAACAAAGTTGCTGAAGCTTTTGTTGGAAAATGTACTGGTAAAACAGAGTTTTACCCAGCCTTAATTTGTGAGTACTAATTTTGTATCTGAGATGCATGAATTTTGAATACAATCAATTCTTTAAAAAAAAGAACAACAGAACTCCAGCCAGGTACTAGTGGCTCACACTGGTAATCCTAGGTATTCAGGAAACTGAGATCTGAAGGTCATAGCTCAAAGCCAGCCCAAGCAGGAAAGTCCAAGAGACTCTTATCTCCAATTAAACAGCAGAAAACCAGAAGTGATTTCTGTGGCTCTAAGTGGTAGAGTACTAGCCTTGAGCAAAAAAGCTCAGGGATAGTATCCAGGCCCTGAGTTCAAGCCCCCCAAAAAACAAAAAACAAAAAGACAAAAAAAACAGAATTCCTATATTATTTGTGTTTATACAAAATTACGTGAATACAGCCTCCAAACTTCATGGTGAACTGTCTCTGGCTGTAGTGCCCAGTCAGAATGACAACTGCCAACTTTTTCATTTTTATTTTTATTTTTTTTGGCCAGTCCCAGGCTTGAACTCAGGGTCTGCACACTGTCCCTGAGCCTCTGTGCTCAAGGTGAGCACTCTACCACTTGAGCCACAGCACCACTTCTGGTTTTTTTGAGTTGTTTATTGGAGATAAGAGTCTCATGGGAACTTTTCTGCCCAGGCTGGCTTAGAATCAGGATCCTCAGATCTCAGTCTCCGGAGTAGCTAGGATTACAGGCATGAGCCACAGGCTGACAACTGGCCATATTATTTGACCAAAATCCTCCACTTCTTGGTGAGGCCTGAGTAAACCAAATCATATCCTAAAAGTTATGGCTTAAGAAGACCCTTCCTGCCAGACCTGGCCACTGAGCCTCAGGCCACACAGGTGGTACCTTAGCAAGGAAGACCTAGAGATATTGTT